GTGCAGCCCGATTTGCTTCACGTCGGCGTCGCCAATGCATCGCCGACGTCGACGATGCATCGCCGATGCATCAGCGATCTGAAGCGATCCTCCGACCCCATCTACTCGGACCCCATCTAGAAGGTCTCCACGGGTGCGATCCTTGCAACCTCGCAGTGATGTGGTGCTCCGAAAATCGGACTGGCCCAACAAGGGAACCAGCGACGAGGGGGTGGTGCAATGGATCTGGTGCAATATAGATTTGTGGGGTCGCAGTACACCTGGGGCGTACACTACATTCCCAGGCCGCAGATTCTTGCTGGGCATTCGCGTGTGATGCTCTCGCTGCAATGCAGTGTAGTACCATTCTCCACTGCAGTGCAGCACGCTTGCAATACAACCGCCCCGAATCCATCGCCCCATCCCCTTTCAGCTGGATCCCCCAAAAGTTCCCGACATAGGGATCGTCACGCAGCAGGATGGGGGCGAGGTGAGAGGGGCGGTCAGGCGGCGTGTCGAGGAGCCGCAAGCGCCAGGCGCAGGCAATGGGTGGCGGGGATGGGGCGGGGGGGGGGGCGAGAGGGACGGGGAGGGATGTGGGCGGGAGGGGAGAGGGGAGGCAGGGAAACAGAGGGGCGAGATCTTGGGCCGGCCAAGGACACGAGGTGCGCCCCCCGCCCAAAGAGCGGACGTCCTGCTTTTGACAGGTGTCCCGCCGGTGCTGGGGCACGCGGGGCCGCGCCGTGTCCCCCGCAGGTTCCGTCCCTGGGAGGCCCAGGGGAAGGATGCACGCTGCATCGCGAGGGCCACCCAGGAAGAGAAAAAACATGCAGACACAATTCATCGTCGACTCCCAGGAAAATGCGGGAAAATATGGGAAGTGGGGGGGAAGACAGAAACCCAGAAAATATGGGAAAATATGGGGAATCATTTGATTTGTGTGTATTTACTTGCGTGTCCTGGGGCCCCTTCTGCATCGCGAGGGCCACGGGGATCTCACAGAAAGACAGGCCCTCTGCCACAAACAGGTATCTGTTTGCCTGGTGATCGCCTTGTATTCACTGTTTTGCCGATCGGCGCGGGTCCTCGTACCCCCCCCCCCTCCGCCCCCCCCCTTCCTCCTGGAGTGGATCTTGGCTGCTTTTTGGCGCCTGTTTCGAGCCGTTTGGGGTCTTCCCCGCAGGACGCACGGTTCCAACCAGTCGCAGTAAGCAGAGGTCTGGAGCCAGACGCCCCCCCCCTTGCCGCCCAATGTCGAAACGCCGGATTAAAAAACGATCACCTGCTTAGAGGTCCCACCAATAAGGCTCGAGCAGGCCCGTGTAGAATCCCTTTCAGGCTCCGCCGAATGAGGCCCGAGCGAGATGCCTGTTGCATCGCGGCAGCGATGGTGCTCTGAGAGGAGGCACGTCCACAGCCCCCAGACGGGCAGTCTACCTGAGAGGTCCCACCAATCTTGACGACCTGACAATACCCCCATTAAAGCTCTCTCTCTCTCTCTCTCTTTTCTTTCTTTCTCTCTCTCTCTCTCTCGGGAGGCCCGAATGCGATGCTTGCTTGCTTCATCGGAGTGAGCATGAATGCGAGTTTGAAAATGCATGGATCTGGACGGGTACGAAAATGAGCCGATCAAATACAGGGTAACTATGAGGGTGAATGAGCCTGCGTGCGATTGAGTGCGGGTATGAGCTGGTCTGAGTATGAATGTGTCTGAGTATGAGTGGGTGTGAATATGATGGAGCCTCAGTGTGAGCGAGTCTGAGTGTGACTGGGTCTGAGTGGGAGTGGGCAGGAGTGTGAGTGGTTCTGGCTCGAGTGGATCTGAGCATGGGAGGGAGAGAGAAGGCGGGCGAGCGAAGGGGCAGAGGCATGTCATGAAAAACAAAAAGCAATAACCCATGGCATCGTTTTTTGGGAACAGCAGCCAAATAGTTAGGATGTGTGAGTAAGGGGGGCGGGACGTGAGGGTGGCAGGGGGCGCCACGATCAGCACTGTCACCCCGTGGCCATGATGCTCGGATGCATGTGCAGGTGCAGGGACCCACGCTCATCTAGAAAAGCATATACACGAGGATTAGCCTGACGTGGGGGCCCATTCCCAGGGAGCGTCGGGGATCTCTCATCCGCAAGCGCCGAAAGCATGAACGAGCATGACGATACACGCTCATGTGCGCTCCCTCGTGCCCCGTGATGGGAAGGGCAACCTCCCTCGCACCCCGCGGAGGTCGAGGTTCTCGCCCCTCCCCTGTCGCAGGGGAGGCCGAGCCCAGAGGAGATCCCCCAAAAGAGTCTGTGGGGAAAAAAACACACTGGGAAAAAAAAACACACACGTGGGAAAAACACACAACACACACACAACGAAAAAAAACGTGTTTTGTGTGTGACTGTGTGTGTGAGTGTGTGACTGTGTGACTGTGTGTGTGTGCGTGCGTGCGTGCGTGCGTGCGTGCGTGCGTGCGTGCGGCGTGTGGTGTGCGTGTGGTGTGCGTGTGGTGTGCGTGCGTGCGTGCGTGCGTGCGTGCGTGCGTGCGTGCGTGCGTGCGTGCGTGCGTGCGTGCGTGCGTGCGTGCGTGCGTGCGTGCGTGCGGCGTGCGGCGTGCGGCGTGTGGCGTGTGGTGTATGGTGTGTGGTGTGTGGTGTGTGGTGTGTGGTGTGTGGTGTGTGGTGTGTGGTGTGTGGTGTGTGGTGTGTGGTGTGTGGTGCGTGGTGTGTGGTGTGTGGTGTGTGGTGTGTGTGTGTGTGTGTGTTCACTCCCCAGCGTCTCCCCGACCCTCACGACTTGGAGAGCAGTCCCCGAGCGGCTCCCCGTCGAGTCCGGAAGGCGCCAGCCTTCTCCCAAGAAAGGCCCCGCCGTGGTCCCCGAGGAGGAGTGGCGTCGCGCCCTTCTCGAGCTGCTGCTCCTTCGTCTGGGGGCTGCGATCGGGAGTGGCCGCAGCCTGCACGAGCCCATCTTGCAGAATTGCCTTCTACGCCATCGTGGCCCATCTGCCCGCCTGCACCAGCATCGGCGCGCATGGCGGTCTTGAAGACATGATGATACTGGGGAGCCGTTTGATCGCCAGCGTTCATGCCAGTGCCCTTCATGCGCGCAGTCTTGCAATTACTTGCCATTGCGGTTGCCCCACTCCGTATCGAACACTAAGTTTGAGCCGGCGTTGGCGCAATTCGCGCATTTGTTACCGCTGCTGTGGAAAAAGGGTCCTGGCCCAGTCCGAGACTTCGATGAATCCATCTTTTCTCCAAGTATCGACACGTTATTTCAATACCGGAATTCTTCAACATCCCCTGAGCCATTGCAGCGTGGCTGTCGACGGCCCACTCGACACCCGCGTCAACAGTCCCAAGAGCTTGGCTCTCGGCGGCCGCGCGCCGATGCCGAGCAGCGAGAGCGAAGTCTAGATCAGGGCTGGACCTAAACTCTGTGTTGCTGGATTTCGGCTGTGTGTTGTCTTCCGTTTTGGCAGGGAGGTACAGGAAAACAGGTAGAGCAACACAACAAAGCAAAACGAAAAACAACGTTTAGGTCCAGCCCTGGTCTAGATCGTCCCAGACGTAGTCGACGCCACCTGCGCTGCTCTGTTTCCTGATCTTCCCGCTGGGTCGCTGACACCTGCTGGTTGCTCTAGCCCCGCTGGTCCAGGCCCCCGTGGAACACGACCACGGGCTAATATATGAGCTGTGTTCCCTCCTTGGCGATCACTCACTGCTCACGCCCTCTTCCTAAAAATCGTTCTAAAACCCTTCATCTGGTTTTTTTTTTTGGAAGAGCCTTCCTAAAGACCCTCCTAAAACCTTCCTCAGGCAGGTATGTGTTGGAAAGCCTTCCTAAACACCTTCCGAATTCCTTCCTCAGGAGGTTGTTCGGGGAACACCTGAAAACCTTCCTGTAGCCTTCCTCTGGAGGGTTTTTGTTGGAAGAACCTTCCTGGAACCTTCCTAAAATTTTCCTCAGGGGGGGAGGGGGGAAGAACCTCAAGGAACGGGCTGCCAACTACTGCAGAGCCGACTGCCTCGCCGCCGCTCGTTCGGTCGTGAGCTCCAGCAGCGCTTCCTTGCTCTTGCCCTCCAGGGTTTTTGTGCCCCAGCCCAGCGCCCGTGCCACCGCCTGCGATGTCCCCGTCGAGAGAGACTCGGGCCGGACGAAAGAGAGGGATTGGGAAAGGGGGGGTTACGAAATCTGCTGCATGCAGCTGGTTTCGGCCCCCCGAGGGGCCCATTCCTCGATACATGGGCGTCTCTGGCGCTGGGAGGCGCCGGGAAAGTCAGCTACGTGAGCTGATTCTCAAACCCCCCCTTTGCTGTCCCCCCCTTTCGCCCGGCCCGAGAGACGGTGACCGACTCCGCGCCGAAGCCCGTCCACCAAGAGTCGAGCACGGTTGTCTAGTTCCTTCTGGAGGATCGTCTCGAGGAGGCGGAGGTGAGGAGGATGAGGGCGACGACGATGAGGACTACGACGAATAAAGGAAGGGAGGAACGAACGATTGACGACGATGGCGACGAACATTGCGACGACAACGACGGACGACTACGACGACGACGACGTCGACGTCCGATGACGAAGACGACGGTGTACGCGGCGACGTCGACAATGACGACGAGATTGACCATTGACGATTGACGACGACGGCGACGACGACGTCGACGCACGACGACGATGCCGAGCGACGGCGACGACGGCGGCGGCGGGCCCCAGAGCTTTCGCTTCCTTCCCTGGGACAGTTTGTTGCCCAGGCTCCGTTTCTGACAGTCCCCGGGCCGACAACACGGCACCCGGGTCGATCGATCGATAGGTTGATCTTTGACCGAGCGATCGATTGATCGACTTAGGTTGAGCGTGCGATTGATTGATCGGTTGGGGAGACATACTTCGATCGATTGATTGACCTCGATCGATCGAGCGATCGAGCGATTGACCTCAACCCTCGATCGACTGGGGGACGAAGGCCGAGCCTCGATCGGGCGACGGCGTCCGCGACCGACGCCGGCGACGCCGGGCCGTGCCCCCACCCGCCGGCCGCCAGGGCCTCGCCGAGGGCGCGGTGGGGCTCGGCGCCGGGGACAGGGCCGCGCCGAGGGCAGCGTGTGCGGAGGACTCGCGCACGCCGCCGCCGCCGCCCTCGCCGTCGCCGCCGCGCGCGCTCCGAGAGCACCTGGGCCGACGTGGGCGGGTCGTGAACCGCCGCGACCTTGCGGTCGGGAGCTCCTGGACAGCGCGTCGCTCCGCCGGGTCTGGCCCACGGCGCTTCGGCGCGACACGCCATCTGCGTCCCCGTGCCGGAGCATCAGCGTGTCGGTGCTTTTCCCCGCCTCCCGCCCCGCGGAGCGGAGTGGCACGCGGTCGCCTCGCAGGGCACAGCGTGTGTCGCCAGGGCGGCCCGGGCGACGCGCTAAGCCTCGTGCCGGGTAGCGTTCCTGGATGCACCCCGTGCATGAGCTAAGCGTCCCAGCCACTCAGCTCCGCGCACCCCTCACACGCTTCGTGACCCCACAGGGGGGCCCCACCGAAGGCCCCAGTGGCGCAGCCCGCATGCGTCCCAGGCACCCATTGCGGCACACGCCTCGCACGGTTCGTGGCCCCAGGGGGGCTCCACCGAAGGCCCCAGTGGCGCAGCCCGCGTGCGCCCCAGCTGCCCGTGTCGGCACACACACACAGACACACACACACACACACACACACACCCCTCGCACGTTTCGTGGCCCGGTAAGGGGGCTCCACCGAAGGCTCCAATGGCGCAGCCCGCATGCGTCCCAGCCGCCCATTTCGGCACACCTCTTTCACGTTTCGTGGCCCCATACGGGGCTCCACCAAAAGCCCCAGTGGCGCAGCCCGCATGCGTCCCGGCCGCCCATGTCGGCGCACACTCCTCACACTCCTCACACGTTTCATGGCTCCATCCGGAGCTCCACCGAAGGCCCCAGCGGCACAACTCGCATGCGTCCCAGCCATTCATTTCGGCACACCCCTCACACGCTTCGTGACCCCATAGGGTGCTCCACCGAAGGCCCCAGTGGCGCAGCCAGCCTGCGTCCCGGCCATTCATTTCGGCACATCCCTCACACGTTCCGTGGCCCCATAGGAGCTCCACCCAAGGCCCCAGTGGCGCAGCCTGCATGCGACCCAGCCGCCCATTTCGACACACCCCTCGCACGTTTCGCGGCCCCATGGGGGCTCCACCGAAGGCCCCAGTGGCGCAGCCCGCATGCATCCCAGCTGCCCGTGTCGGCACACACCCCTCGCACGTTTCGTGGCCCGATAAGGGGGCTCCACGTCCCAGCCACCCATTGCGGCAGACCCCTAACACGTTTCGTGGCCCCATAGGAGCTCCACCGAAGGCCCTAGTGGCGCAGCCCACATGCGTCCAAGCTGCCCGTGTCGGCACACACCCCTCGCACGTTTCGTGGCCCGATAAGGGGGCTCCACCGAAGGTCCCAGTGGCGCAGCCCGCACGCGTCCCAGCTATTCATTCTGGCACACACCTCCCACGCTTCGTGGCCCCACATGGCGCTCCACCGAAGGCCCTAGTGGCGCAGCCCGCATGCGTTGCAGCCACCTGTTTCGGCACACACCGCTCACACGTTTCGTGGCCCCATATGGACTGCAGCCCCGTTGGCAGCGCCCGCGTGTCAGCCCCGCCCCATTTCGGCACACCTTTCACGCGCTTCGTGGCCCCAGAAGGAGATCCACTGGAGGCGATACTTACAACGACGGTATTCACTACTGCATATGATTGGCCCTTTCGCCAGGTAAATTATTTAATCGCTTCGCTCACTCCGCCGGCCCATATTGTCGCACCGTTGTGGGCTAGCCGAGTTTTGGGGCCTCTTGGGGGCCGTTTTGGGGCCTCTTGGGGCCTCTTTTGGGCCTCTTGGGCGCCTCTTGGGGCGTCTTGGGGGCCTCTTGGGGGCCTCTTGGGGCCTTTTTGGGGCCTCCTGGGCGCCTTCTGGGGCGGAGGGCTCGATTTTTCAGTTCTCGGTTCCCCTCTTGAGCCCCTCTTGGGCCCGTCTTGGGGCCTCTTGGTCCGTCTTGGGCGGCACTTGGGCCGTCTTGGGGGCCCTCCTGGGCCGTTCCGGGGCCGTCTTGGGAGCCTCGTGGGCCGTCTTGGAGCGGTCTTGGGGGCCTCTTGGGCCGTCTTGGAGCGTCCGGAAGCCGAAAAAGCCAGAACGCAAAAAACATAGAAAAAACAATGAAAATCAACGATTTTGGCCTCTTGGGGCCCTCTTCGGAGGCCTCTTGGAAGGCCCTTGGGGCGTCTTGGAGGCCTCTTGGGCTGTCTTGGGGCCCTGTTGGGCGTCTTCGGGCGATCTTTGGCCGTCTCGGGGCCCTCTTGGACCGTCTTGGAGGCTTCTTGGGGACCTCTTGGCCCGTCCTGGGGCCCTGTAACAGGGCTCCGGCATCTCTGGCCCGACCTTGCCGGGACCTTGCCGGGGTACTTTTCGTCCGGGGACCCCCAGGGGCCGCCCCGCGCGCGCGAACTAGAAATACTGTTAACCAGGTACCAGAGATCTTAGCACGCCCTGGCCCGTTGGGCCGGCGAATAAGGGGGGCTCGGGGATCCTAGGCCCAGGGCGTTTCCGGGTTCCAAAGGCGTTCTGGAGGTTTCACCGGGAGAGAGACTTGAAGCGGGATGGAGAGGAGGGAGGGGATGGGAATGAACAGGAGGAGGACGAGGGAGGTTAGGGAAGAGTGAAGGGGGGAGGAAGGGGAGGAGGAGGAGGAGGAGGAGGAGGAGGAGGAGGAGGAGGAGCAGGAGCAGGAGGAGGAGGAAGAAGAAGAGGAGGAGGAGGAGGAGCAGGAGGAGGAGGAGGGAGTTCTCAAGGATGCTGTCGGCGACTGGAAGGCGCAGAAATTTGGTGTCACATTCGACGGAGACTATCAAGTCACGCACGCGACTTGGTGCGATGCGACAATATTTTGCTCACTGCAAAATCTCCAGACGAAGCAATCAGCCTGTTCCAATTGGTGACTACTGAGCTATATAAGCATGCGCTGACGTGGAAGACACACTATTTAGAAACAAGATGTAGCCTGAGCGTCCCTACACCTATGATGCACGCATTTGTTTCCCCAGCGGGGGAGGATATGACGATCAACCCGTTCAGGAGTTTCTGACATTAAGCGTGATGTTGGGTCGCGCAGGGTCCACTGAGCGAAGTATGAAGTACCGGATGGCGAACGCGGATGCAGTTTGTTTTCAGATCTCACACATTTCTGGTTCGAACGTCTGGGAATGTTGGTTCCAGCATGCACGAATTCAATATTGCAATGCGCAACGCTTTATTGTACAACGCTGGAGGCTGGCATCTAACGCAGGAGATCTTGAGCAGCACCAGGACGTGGGTTACCAGGAAGTTGCGGCAAATTCTGCGTTTCCGCGGACTTCCTGACGAGAGTCGCCAGGGCTTCAACCAGAGGAAGCCGAAACGGATTCAAGAGTTGTTTGACAAGTACTCCCAATGGCGAGAGCACAACAGCGCCCTCGCGGCTTCGCACTCTTGGGCGCACGCCATCTGCAACTTCAGCCTTCCATGTTGTGCACGACCATTACATGACTTGATGGTGGCCAGGAATAACGAGGTGCGTGTTTCTCTATTGCTTGGGGCATGACGGGCGTCATGGCCCCCCCTTATGACGTAACGCTCCCCCCCCAGTGCGCTCTGGGCATTGCCGCCGTGCGCATCGGTATCCGCATAGGCGTCCGCGTAGGAATCCGCATATGAGTCTGGTCCGCAATCGTCGTCGTCGTCACCGTCGTCGTCGTCGTCGTCGTCGTCGTCGTCGCTCGTCGCTCGTTGCACGTCGCTCGTCGCTCTTCCTCGTCCTCGTCGCCCGTCGCTCGTCGCTCGTCGCCCATCGTAGCCATGCGCTGGGACGCGACTGGAGCTTATTTTTGGGGGAAAATCCGAGCCGATGACGGCCGTTTCGCGCCGGCGGCGTCTGGGAATGCTTAGGAATGACCGAGGACGGGTAGCAGCAGCGGGCACGTGGCGATCTACACCACAGCGCTCGTGTACACCACAGTGCCTGCGCGCACCACAGCGCCTGTGTACCCCACGCCGCCCACGTACACCACAGCAGCCGCGTGCAACGGAACGCCAGTGTGTGTCACAGCGTCCGCGGGCACAAAAGCGCTTGTGTAAACCACAGCGCGCGCGTACACCACATCAACCGTGTGCAACTCAGTACCAGTGTACACCTTAATGCCTACGTGCACTGCAGCGCCTGTGTGCAGCACGGCGCCGGTGTGCACTACAGCAACCGTGCGCAACAGAGAACCAGTGTTGCATATAGAATTTGAGAAGGAACACTTAAGACAAATTGGTGCGCCTGTGGATTGCACAAGGGAGAATTGTTAGATACACGACTTGGAAAAAAATCCTCATGGAACATGGAGCGCCGCTGGAATCTACGAGTCCTCCCGAGTCCGCCCGCATCATCCTAACGCCTCCCATAGGGGTCCAGGAGGCTCCAGCAGAATCGGGTGTCTGGGAGCCAAATGGTGCGCACATGTGTGGTGCGCGCAGATGATGCTGAAATGATCGTGGCTCGTGGCCCCTGGTCGTGGCTCGTGCGCGCACGCGCTGTCGAGCACGCAGAAGCGCTACCATTGCCTGCCCTCCCCATTCCTCCCCAGTCCTTGCCATTCCTTTTCACGGGCGGTCACGGGCGTCGTGGGCTCACAGTGCAGGAGTGCACGCAGGGCGAGAAAAAACAATAATCACAATCAGTTCACATATCGAATTTGATAATATCGGCCGCCCCCGCGATTTTCCGGCACGTGGTCCCGTCGGGACCCTAAACGGCCCCAGAGGTGCACGCAGGCCTCGTGGTGCACACAGGCACTGCGGTGCACGCAGATGGTGCTGAAGTGGTCGTGGCTCGTGGCCCCTGGTCGTGGCTCGTGCGCGCAAACGCTGCGGTGCACGCGGAAGTGTTATCATTTTACCTAACCCCCCTCGTTCTCGTCGTTCGTCGTTCGTCGCTCATCGTCGTCGTGCGCACGGGCGCGGCTGCGGTGCTGGAGCCACACGGCGGGGGGGGGGGCGTTACGTCATGCCCCCCCCGCACCCCACCCACGCCCGCCTTCCCCCCCCCCA